TTCTTTTGGGAAAGTATGCTTGAATTTGAAATATTCGATATTCACAATATTTTAAAATTTTACATAGTCGTCAAAATGATTGCGATATTATCGGTAATATTCGATATATTGCCCAGCCCTACTCCGCATATAACTTGCATTTTGTGGTTATATACTTATCTGTCAAATGTTAGAAAGTCTAGAAAGATATAATACTTATATGTAAATTCATTTTAAAACAAATGAAATAACTTTACATTTTGATAGATGGATAAACATAAACAACAAGATTTAAGTGTGTGAATTAATGAAAGCATTAATTTGATTTATTTTTGATTTTGGCAGATCTGCTCCTCCAACCACACAGGAGTTCATCAACAGTTCAGCTCTTCCCACAACAGTGAATGAAAGAAAGCTGAAAACATGACTGATCCAGAACCCTGCGGAATAAAACTGGAAGATGCTGAAGAACAAATAGGTTGGTGTATATTCTTCATTCTTCACTATGTTTATAAAACTTCAAGCAGTTACTTGGCGTACTGGCACTTGTGGTTAAAGGCATTGACAGTACGTAAGTACACTGAAGCTAAGCAGGGTTGAGCCTGGTCAGTACCTGTATGGGAGACCTCCTGGGAAAATCTAGGTTGCTGCTGGAAGGGGTGTTCGTGAGGCCAGCAGGGGGTTCTCACCCTGTGGTCTGTGTGGGTCCTAATGCCCCAGTGTAGTGACGGGGACACTATATTGACAAAAAGCTTGTTAAACCGAGATTCTGACTCTCTGTGGTCATTAAAAATCTCAGGATGTCCTTCGAAAAAGAGTAGGGGTGTAACCCCGGCATCCTGGCCAAATTCGGCCATTGGCCTCTGATCATCATGGCCTCCTAACCATCCCCATATCTGCTGATAGGTTTCATCACTCTGTCTCTTCTCCACCAATAAGCTGGTGTGTGGTGGGCGTTCTGGCGCAGTATGACTGCCGTCGCATCATCCAGGTGGATGCTGCACACTGGTGGTGGTTGAGCAGATTCCCCCTTCTATGTGAAGCGCTTTGAGTGCCCAGAAAAGCGCTATATAAATGTAAGGAATTATTATAAGTCACTAATGCTAAAAAAAAATTCCCTTTCAAAAAGAAAAGACTTGCTGTAAAAAATGAAAAGAATAATTTGAGCCAGTATTGTCTTCAACTGTTGTTTTGAAAAGAGTTGTTTTAAAATAAATAACATCACAAAAGTAACATCACAAAAAAAACATCACCACCCCTCGTGCTCTACCGTTATCTTTCTCTTAGGAGTCTAAAGCCCAAAGTATCCTTCACTTTTTACGCGTACACAAGGGACAGCGTACAGTGTGTATGACCCGAATTTCGTCATCACAATAGTACGCGCATACTGTGCATACGTGCACCACCTGATTTTTGTAACTGTGCGTACTTTCGTACAAAGTACGCACAGTTACAAAAATCAGGTGGTGCGCGTATACACAGTATGCGCGTACTATTGTGATGACAAAAGGTCACAAGCGCATTGAAGTTATTTTGCAGTAATCAGATGTTCTACAAGGTGGTAACACAGGCTATTTTTTCAAAGTAGAAAACAAAACAGAGACAGAACAGCAACAACAAAATAGCAGAGACTGCAACAACAACAGACGCTCACATTGACAAGTGCTTGGGAGTGAGAGGGTATGAGACAGCCCAGCTTTGGTTAAAAAGAGTTCAAAAATATTTGTTATCGGTCATAAATTATAGCGGAAAAATGGAGCAGACACTGGAGATGGATGAAGCTTCCTTGAGCGCATGTGTCGACCATTTGCGTTCGCACACAACATCAAATGGAGTATACTTTGAAAGACTACGCGTTCAACTGTACGCATACGCTAGGTGGTCTCTTTGAGGGTTCCAAGGAGGACTTTGCTAAAAAACACTACTGTTATTGACAGCTTCTGTGCAGGGAAATAGTTGGACACCATGAAGAACTCTGCCCCCTCCAGCCAAAAGAGCCAGGTGATCATAAGCGGAGCGTGTGTAAGGCTTAGCCTTCCTCTGGCCATGGGGACTTGGGGCAAAAATGCCAGCAAACTGAACAAAAATGCTCCTGCACAATTTACCTTTTGCAAACAGCTTGATTGACCGGTGATCTGACCAATCATAACGCCGATTTCACCATTTTGTCCAACAAACAAATCAGACAGGAGCATAGATTAACTTCGGTAGATTTAAAGAAAGTCCCTTTGGCTTAGACTTGAAAAATTGTGTGTATGACGTCTTTCCACGGTTGAAATAAAATGTGTTCTGATGTTCGTTCATGTTTCTTTAAATACTCAAAGTAAAGAAGAAAAGACGATCGGTTCACGTGTCGATTGATCTAATAAGGCAATACAGTGACCTGTCAAGACACATTAAAGCGCCACAAAACCGTAATTGTTATTTGAATTACTTTAAAAACATTTTAGTCTATAAAAACACACTTACAGTCTGTGAGTCAGAACAGCCGGTATACAGTCCTCCGTAAAATGTGCTGCACACATCTGAATATTTGGGTTGAACTGTTCTGGAACAGTGTTGAAAATACAGCTTAACCACTGATTTCTAGTCCTGTCCTCTTTTGGAAGGCCAAACAAAGTAGTTTCGCTTTCACAGCGAGAAACACGGTGGGCTAGAGTGAGCGGCGGACGGAGGCCTAGAGTGAGGAATGGCCGGTGGCCTAGAGTGAGCGGAGGCTGGAGTGAGCGGCGGCCGGCGGGCTTGAGAACAGCCAGCGGGCTAGCGGCAACCACATGTGACAACCCCGGGCTGGACTCCGCTTTGTCCACGGTGAAAGCATCCACAGCGCGAAGTTGATTTATTTCCTCAGCGACCAGCACGGATCAGCTCCAGGCATGACAAAGCAGATATCGTCCTCTTTTGGAAGGCCAAACAAAGTAGTTTCGCTTTCACAACGAAACACAACGCCTTCACGACATGGCGGTGGCAACAACAATACTATAGCGAGAATAAAAGTTTTTACAGCATTGTACATCATAACCAATCACACACGATTCTGTTGAATTTATGCATGAAGTAACCAATCAGAGACATTCTGGACTTGGCGAATTCTCATCATAAACAACAAAGTGCAGATGTACGTACAGCTTTAGTGATTATATTGATAGTTTTTTTTTTTTGAGAGTGTTTAAACTTGCAATAAGTTGAAGTTAGTGAAAATGTTCTTTACTCGCTTTCTGTATATTATTTTTTCGCTGTTTGAATAGCTGTACATGAAAATGTAAATGAAAACGTTATAATTATCAACTTAAAATTTTTTTATTAAATTGTGATCACGTTAAATACAAATTTAGCCCTAAAAATATTGTATTAGCCTGCATGACACCCATATCTGGTACTTGCCTAAAAAGACGGGTTTATGATGTTTGTAGGTAATAGATATACAGTAGGCTATAGTGAGAGAGAGGGAGGGAGAGAGAGAGCGGGGAGGGGGGATGGGATCAGAAAAGGTCTGTGAGCTGGAATTCGAACTCAATGCCCGAGGCACAACTGTGCCATATGTCGGCGTGCTGCCCACAAGGCTGTCGGTGGTGACAACTTAGTCTGAATTTAGCAGAGCTCAAGGATGCCAATAAGTTAGTCCTCCTTGACTCCCGTCTCTCCGTGGGGACTATTAGTTGTGCTTTGGATGGCTTTGCTGAACGTTCCACAACCAGAAATTTTGCTGCCTCGAGTCGCCCCCAAGCTGTCGTTTACTCAGCAGCACTCCAGGCCAGCGTCTGCATCTGCTCAGCCCCAGCCTAACACTTCATGGCGGCTCAGAAGTCATCACAAGGGATGTGTCATTCCTCCCCAAGTGAGCCAGTTCTTCTGCTGCTTCCAGTCAGAGCTTGAAGTGAAACAAGGCTTCTGCACGGCTAAGTGCTATCAATTCCCGAAGCACCAGGGGCCCCACCCTAAGCTAGAGCTGGACCTTGAGCAACCCCTGCAGCTTTGATGCTCCGAGACCGAGGAGGTTCATTTCCGTCAAGGCTGGACTACCCTCAAACCACCTCACTTTGGGGCATGGTTTACACTTTAGATTTTGACAACGATTTCCATGTCCTCAAAGCTGAAGTCCAAACCCTGCTAGCAAAGGTTGCTGTGGAGAGCAGTGCTTAATTTGAGCCGGATCCTGTTCCGGAAAATGTTAAATTTTGGATTTTTGTGTTCCGGTATTTGTTATTAAAGATCTGGCATTAAGCATTAGATTGTGACAGTGCGTGCGTGCATATGAGACATGCAATTATGTAGATGTATTTGGAGCATGATTTGTAGATTATGTATTGGTCCTCAACATATTATTGACCAATCAGCTTTCTTCAGTTCAAAATCGCTCTCGTTGATTGGTGCTACTGCTTAACCCACTCTCTGCACTTTTTTGTGAGCAGCAGAACGTTTGGAGAGAGTGTAATAATACCAGAAATACCTAAAATAATTCCAAATAAAGTGAAATATTATAATGTATAAACATTATAAACACTATAATCATAGCCTAGTTCCCCTCACTCCAAAATAAATAATTCAAATGTAACTGTATGCACTGCAAAACAGATCAAGAATGAAAAAATATAAAGAAACCAAAACAAAGTGAAACTGAAAGTAGGCTACCGTTGGACTCACGTACCTCTCTCATTCGGCACAAATGAATCCAATGTGTCCATATTTGCAATGTATTTCAATGTTAAAAATATTATTTATAATGTAGACTAGGCTTCATGCCCGTTCGCATATCGACGGAAAAAATAATTCTCTTCACATGCACAAAAATGCGCTTGGCATAACAGCAGCTGTAGACCGGTTATACTAAGGACTCTTTAAATTGATATGTTTGGGTGACTGTATTTTATTTGAATAATGAACAAACTGCAATGGCAAGTTTGAATTGCTAGAGTGTGTGTTCGTGTGTATGTGTGTGTGTGTGTGCGCGAGGCGCCAGCGCGATCAAACAGCTGACACATTAAATAGGCTACTCCATTTTTGGTCATACAGAGTAAGACAGCCTGCAAAGTGTTAAAAAAAACTAACACTAGCTTCTCTATTCTTTTTGTATTCTATCTATTTTCTTTTTATTTATTAGGCCTATAGCCTATAATAAAAAAAAAGCTTCCATTGTCCTCATTTGTAAGTAGCTTTGGATAAAAGTGTCTGCTAAATAACTGCATGTAAATGTTTACTTTTATTTGTGCACACTCGCAATAAGAAAAGAACATTTGTGTTTTTGTAATTAAGCAAACAAACAGGATGCGCGTTCTGTCATCTCGGTTCTCGGTTTCCTTTCTGTGAACTTGTTTGCAGATCGCCGCGCCTCACATCTGTTTTATATCTGTTAATTATTTGTCAGATATATTTCCCATATTTATACCTTTTCTATATAGATTATCATCATTTTATTTTTATGGAAACAAATTGTTATTTTAATTAACTTACATATATTTGCTTTTAAAGTCATATGAT